AAAAAAAAAAAAAAAAAAAAAAAAAAAAAACTTTCATTAACCAAGATTCAATTTCCATGCTAGATAAACGACATAGATTTATATATGCTTGATCATTTATATATGCATAAACCAAAGTCAATCAAACCAAAAATACCCGATCCGGCAAGAATCACATATGCATCTTATGACAACAACCCAGATACTAAAAAAAATCAAGAAAAATAAATCATATGAATGCCAAAAAAAATAGTATAATTAGTATCTATCTAAGGAGTGATCAAGCAGCTCCGTTGAGTTTGTTGGCAATGGTGGCAATGTACTTTCCCTGGTGAAACGCTTGCTCGTTTTCAATCTCATATGGCTGGCGTGAACTGTCCCCAGCAAAAGTCCCAGCATCATAAAGGGCTTCCACCTTAACTTTCTCCATTTCAAACATGCAAGCTCCAAATGTATATCCAATAGGCACAAAGATCATCTGATGGTGAAAATCCATAACTGAGGTAGATTCACTTCTATCATGCAAAATATCCTGACCCTTGGATGGAAAATCCATAATTGACGCAGACTCACACTCACTTCTTCCTTCCAATACAAAAGGGTTGCACCTTCCGCTGTCAGGGTTGTATTCTACAAGGGTATTATTATTCAACTCGCCAGAACTATCAGTTTGTTTCTTCAAAACTTCAACCTTCTCTTCGACTGATGAAGTCGAGAAGGATTTAATCTGAGCAATCGCCAATTTGCAAAAGAGGCAAAGCATTGCAATTTGGAAGAACATCAATCAGTTTGTAAGAACTTTACACTTATAAAGAAAGTGATACATTGCAATTTGCATTGTAATTTGCAGAAGAGGCAAAGCATAATTGAGCATCAGGTAGTTCTGAAAATTGGTACTAAAACTTAAACAAGTCGTTTAGCACACACAGAGCATACTCCCTTTTTTTTTAGATACTAATTATGTGGCATTTGAGAACACCAACAAACTATTTATTTATGTATTTATTTTCAATTCCAGTAAAGAAAAAATATAATCTACAATTTTATATCATCCATAAAGTCCAAATTTGTGTTTCTCTAGCTAGCATGCAGGTCATTTATGCCTTTTCTAGCAAACGTATGAAAGTAATCATCACCATATGAAAAATGCAACCGGCAGAGATAATAAATACTACACTACACATGAGATACAACATTTGCGACATTTCGATGTCTATCAGCTCATAGTAAGCACGATATCAACGACATAATCAAGCTAAAAAAATATTCAAACACTACATAGAAGAAACAAACTCATGATGCAATAATCAAGAGGACAAAATTCAACAAAATAAATAAAAACATAAAAATCACCTAGCTAGAAGGACGAACCAAACTGGCTGCAGATGAGTGAATCTATTAGAAGGGATACTAAAGTTGTTCATAAAGAGCCATACTCTGAAATCATGATCCAGTAGCCGGAAGTACGGGAAAATTTGCTTTGGACTCCCTCAACGGCACCGGTTGTTTTCCTACCAGGAAGTACATCGAGAAGAGTGGTCTTTCCGACTCACGTCGATGAGTGCCGTGAGCACGCCCGGCCTGAATGCGCCGGTT